GGGAGGTAACTGTGGGGTAAGCTGAAAGTCGATTTGTGCTACTGCTTTTTTTACTCAGAATGTGCATACTTGTCTCATAATATTTATCTGCTCGGTTGGTGAGGTAGCAGACTAACCGAACTAGGAGAATATGTTCTCCATATGCGCATTAGCTCTTTGTGAATGTAGTCTATCAATATTTCTAATAGCAATATATCAATATGTGACTTTAATCGGAAGTTGGACTTGAGAATTCGCCTAATTAATGTTCGGTTGTTCCTTTACACCTACATTGACCTTGAGTCCATATTTCTCGACGGAATCTTCGCTTTTACTCTAGTGATGATCCACCGAAAAATGTAATATGCCTTGTTTCCGAAATAAAGTCTTGAAATCTTTTTTTGAATATTTTTAGCTTACACGCACCAGTAATGAATAGGAAAATACGTTGAAAAATCTTGTTATTTGAATCCCCATAGCTTGTGAGTTTTTCTGTCACTCTCTCCTCCCTTCTAGGCCTCCTACTTCACGGCGATTTTCCCTTACATTATGCTGACCATTTTGTTGATCCGAGTGGCGCTTTTGCCTGGTTCATTGGATGGCGTAAAATACTACCTGACTCCTAACTTTGCTGAACTCAAAGATGCTACCGCCTGGACGGACGCTGCAACGCAACTCTTCTTCTCTCTCAGCTGCTGCAACGGTGGCCTGATTACACTCTCCAGTTATAATAAGTTCAACAACAACTGCTGTCGGTGAGTCTACGGTGTAGGGGACATTTTGTTTGCAACAAGAAGCTCACAGTCGGCGTGGCTAAAAGGCCTCTAAAGCAGTGGAACCTCTTGTCACGGCCTCCTTGTGCAGGCCTTGTCCATTGGACTATGAAGCCAGGCGCTGGATTTGGCGCTCGGTTACCTTCCGGATGGTGTTAGAACAACTAGAGCAAGGACGTGCTCGTGAAGTTTACGTTGCTCTATACGGGTTGTTGGATTGGCCGAAAAACAGACTGCCGGATATACGTTATTTCAAGTATGTGCCAGGGAGAAAGTGTTGCGGCAGTCCTCCAGATTTGAGTCAATACACTCTAAGGACACCCAGGTCTCTGCTTCTGTGAACTAGGCAAACAAATCGGTTTAAGTTTGCCAAGCGACCATTTACCGCTTTCACGTGAATAAATTCTTGTGCGTGAATGGAAAACCAAGAGAGTGACTTCCTTGCAAACTTCAAGAAAAACGTATTTACTTCATTTCTTTTGAACTGATTTACTTTAGCAAGCACGTTGGGCTATAAAAGAAAAAAAATGGAGAAATATTTAAGACAATTCGAATACGGGATATTTGGTAATTCAGACCAACGTACCAGTCATTCAGTAAAGTCCTCAAATTTTCGTATTCGTTTTATCTTTTATAGTTCTGTTTCAACCTTATCCTTCCGATTTTTTTCTGGATCATATGTGACATCTCGTATCTTATAATTCGGGGCACCATCTCTATGCAGATTGCTATGGGTGACTGTACGCAATCTCTCTTTCAGGGATGCAATTCTAGTGGCCTGCATAAATTGTCTCACATCCATCTACGCTGGCTTTGTGGTCTTCGCCACCCTTGGCTTCATGGCCGCGTCGCGAGGCGTCGGCATTGAAGATGTCGTTGGTTCAGGTAGACCTCCTTCTTTTCGCTGATATTTAAAATTCTCCGGGGACTCTTTTTGTAACCAGGGGCCCAGCTAATCTGACCTCTGTAAACCCATTCGTACACCCGTACAGATAAGCATTTAAAGCACTTTTAACAGTGATAAAACGTAAACTCTGGCAATATAGGTGGAAGAAATTGATATCAGTGTCTGCATGTACAAGCCTGCATCAGCATTTAGCTTAGTACATATCTTTTCGTGCTGCACTAACAGCTGCGAACCACGCTATATTGATAGGGAAAAGAATAGCTGAGTTCAATGGACATTTAACCGTCTGTATGTGCCCCTGATGTTAGCGGATATATGTAGTAGATATGCCAATACGGACAGTGAAAACCTGCAATATGGTTCCACACTGAAAAAAGCAGGAGTGAAAAAAATGTGAACACACATGAGTTGTGTCTGGTGAAAATATGAGGGAAAAATGAAGACACTAGGGAACAACCTATTTGTTCCAGCTTGACCGATTGTCGGTTTATGTCAGGACATGGCCTATCTCCAAATAAAGCAGAAATTACCAGAAAACTTCTAAGGCCAGATCTCTGTTCGGGCCAGCACCTCATGCGTGAACTGATTAAAATCTGTCAATTTAGGTACCACAACAAGGTTCGGGCTTGTTTTCAAGACAGTAGTTAGTACAAGTGGTAGAAGAAGTTCGTCTGTTCGTCAATCATCGCCTACCCTCTGACGCGTTTTACATGCTTAAAAATGACTGCATTAGCGAGTAGCCTGTGAATGGTCTTACTCTTGAACGATGTGTTACCGGGACGTAAACGTAGAACTGCCTATTGTATCATTGTCTGTTTGGTGCCCTGCTTGCAGGTCCAGGGTTGGTGTTCATAGTCTACCCGGAAGCCCTTGATCAAATGCCGCTCCCTGCCGTCTGGTCGGTGTTTTTCTTCCTCATGCTCGTCACTTTAGGCATGGGCAGCGAATTTCCTATGGTAGAAACACTAATCTCCACCGCTCAGGATGAAATTCGTCAATACGGTTATCTTCAAACGAAAGCATCACAGATCATATTCCGGTGAGTCCAACTGTGCCGCTTTTCTTCTCCTCTTCCTCCTCTTACAGATCTCCACGCCCTTCCTCATCGTCCTATTCGTCTTACTGATTCCCATCTCCACCATCCTAATTCCTTTTTGCATGAAATGGATCCGAAAAAGCAAAGGGAGACCGGAATGACCATTTCTGGCTTAGTAGCCGTCATCAGCCAGTCATACCCAATCTCAAAGGTTGGAACCCCCAACTGACGGCTAACAAGCCAGAAATGTCCATTTCGGTCTCCCTTTGCTTTGTCGGATCCGTTTCATCGTATCATCCTAATCACTATGTGACGGTCTGTTGGGTTTACATTATGAGCTCCTGGGCAAAGTGGAACTTAATTTTTCCTCTACTAGATTGGCGAAGCACATATATTTATCATATTTCCGATCTCAGCCGACAAAGCAAGGAGCCCGTGGACTAGTGGTAGAGTATTGAACTCAATGACCAAATGTTCAAATCTCGGGGGATCCAACCCTTGAGATGGGGTTTGACTGGCTGATGGCGGCTAATAAGCCAGAAATGGCCATTCCGGTCTCCCTTTTCTTTTTCGGATCCATTTCATCTTATCATTCTAGTCACTATGTGACGGTCTGGCGGGTTTACGTTGTGAGCTCCTGGGCAAA